TGCAGTGTAATTGCATCATTAGCATCGTCATGTGCTGTTAAGTCAATTCTGACTTCTGGCAGCTCTTTTCAGTGTTTTCCAGGTAGAAAGTACTCAGAAGTGGTTTCCCGTTCCCTTCTTCTGGGGTCATCCTGGGACTGTGCAGCTTGCCCAAGGTTGAACAGGCTAGCTCTGCTATAGGATTTCAATTACATTTCATCTTCTACCATCCCCACTACTATATAAATGCCTCTTTACTGGGGCTACATTCCATGTATCTGAAGAAGTGGGCTGAACTCCATGAAAACTTACTCCAAACAAAACCTGATAGCCTTAAAGGTGTCACAGGATTCTTTGCCAGTTTTGCTGCAACAGAGAAACACAGCTACAGTACATCCTGGAAAAAAATAGTTTGAAAAGGATTGCTTTGGAAAAGTCAGTGTACCTAGACATGTGGAGAACTTCTGAATACATGGGAAGCAACGGCAGAAGAAATGAAACTGGTGCATTCCCTTTTCTGCATGCTTACTTAGCACATCACAGAATGGCTGAACAGGGGTATAGAAAAAGAAAGAGAGATTTGCCCCATAGATCAGGTCAGACTTCCCTGTCTGCCCAAGTTGCATTTGCTCTCTTTGACTGGTCAGCTCTTGATTGCCCAACTTTGGGTACCAGCCAGAAATCTTCCTGATTACTACCCATCACATCCTTTCTAACATGAGATGGTTGGGTTTGAAATAATGCATATGTTCTACACTAAAGAGCAGTTAGATTTTGTAGTGCAGTTGGATTTTGATTCACTTTTTTTCTGTTTGCTTTGAGTTTGGAATTGAAGACTTGAAAGATCTTATGGATCTTAAATATGGTTTTAAAATGTGTAATTATATTAAATATTTAGGTATAAAAATATAGTTAAAAGCACTCAAAAATTAAAGGAGCAAAATTCTAATAAATTTAAAAGCAATTGCAGGAGTATTCTAAATTGAAACTATTGTGGTTTGGGAGAATCGCTATGGTCAAAATGAAAATATTACCAAGAATAACTTTTTTGTATTCTCAAAGGCTTTCACAGCCGGGATTCGATGGTTGTTGTGGGTTTTCCAGGCTGTTTGGCTGTCTTCTTAAGGTCTTTCTTCCTTAAGTTTCACCAGTCTCTGTGGCCGGCATCTTCAGAGGACAGGAGTCAGAACTGTGTCTGTGCTCTGTTGCAGTTTGTTGGATAGTTGAGTTATTTATAGCTGTGGGGTCAACTTTTGTCCTTTTCAAGAGATTGGGTGAATATGGTGATCACCGTGTTTTTGTTGTTGGTGTATTGTTGTGATAAGGAGGAGAGATGATCTATCACTGTGATTGATGGGTTGTATATTTGTGGTGGGCCTGAATACTGTAGGTTTGTAGGTTGTGTTTTTTTCAAAAGTTTCCCCATGCAGTCCATGATCCCTTTGATGTATGGCAAAAATACTTTATTTGCGGGTGGCATATGGTGATCAGCGTGTTTTTGTTGTTGGTGTATTGTTGTGATAAGGAGGAGAGATGATCTATCACTGTGATTGATGGGTTGTATATTTGTGGTGGGCCTGAATACTGTAGGTTTGTAGGTTGTGTTTTTTTCAAAAGTTTCCCCATGCAGTCCATGATCCCTTTGATGTATGGCAAAAATACTTTATTTGCGGGTGGCTGTTTTTCTTCTTCAGTTCAGTGTTGTTTTCTTGGTTTGATGGCTCTTGTGATTTCATTCTTGGAATAGCCATTTGCCTGTAGGTTGAGATTCAGATGGTTGAGTTCGGTGCTTACAAATTGAGCTCCATAGTTCCAATTTGCACGGTCTACCAGTGTTTGGATTATGCCTCCTTTTTTTGTTGTGGGTGGCGGCTGGAGTTTTTGTGTATGTACCGGTCTGTGTGGGTGGGTTTTCTGTAGACCTTGTGTCCCAATAGGAGGTCAGTTTTGCATATGACCATGATAGCTCAGAAAGGGAGTTGGCCCTCTATTTCTTTTCCATGGTGAATTGTATATTTGGGTGGATGCTCTTGAGCTGGTTTAGAAAATTTTGCAGTTTTTCCTCACCGTGGTTCCAAATTGCGAAGGTGTCATCCACGTATCAGAATCAGACTTTGGGTGCAAAGGGTGCGGAAGCCAGTGCCTGTTCTCTGAAATGTTCCATGTAGAAGTTTGCTATCTGAAATGTTCCATGTAGAAATTTGCTATTGCTGGGCTGAGGGGGCTCCCCATGGCCATTCCATCTGTCTGTTCATAGAACTCATTATCCCACTGAAAGTAGATGGTCATTAGGCAGTGCTGGAAAAGGGCCTTGATGTCTTCTGGAAAGAAACTGCTTTTTTATTTAGGATGTTCCCAATACAATTAGAAGATGATGATTTAAGTATTAGTGGATTTTGTAATCAAGGTAAAAAATCAAGAATAAATAAAAGATATTGGTACAAAACTCAAAAAATTGAGGTTTAGGTATTCCTAATATAAAAAATTATTATACAGCGAATCAACTAAGATTTATTGGAGATATTATATATAATGAAGAAACATTAATTTGGTGGGATATGGAACCCTCAAAAATACGTGGGAATATTGAAAATTATTTGTTTAATGTAGTAAAAAGAAATATAATAAATCAGGTGAACAACTCCTTTTTAAGAAACATGTTAAATGTTTGGAACAGATATAAAAATAAGTTCTGTCCCTTTACTTCATCACTAAAATTAGTGACCGAAATAGAAAATTTCCCAGGAAACCTGAAGGGTTAGCTGATTTGTTTAAGGATAAAAAAAAGTTGCCAGATTGAAGGATTGGATGATTAAAATGAAATTGAAGGATCAGATTATAGTTAAACTTCAAACTAATAAACTATCATGGTATAAATATATCCAATTAAATAGTTAGACAAATGAATGGTTGAAGACTAATGGCAAATGTAGACAATGTACTAAGTATGAGCAATTTCTATCATCACATGAAGACATGCAGAAAGATGCTTTGAGGAAGGAAGTAGTAAGTAGAATTTATAACCTAATTTTGGATCAGGAGGAAAATGAGATTGAAATAGAAGGATTGAAATCAATTTGGGAATATGATTTAAAGACAGAAATCAGAACAGAGGATTGGACAAAAAATCTGGAAGATGAGAGTTTTAAGATTAATGTTGATAAGAATAAAGGAGATTTTTAAAAAAAAATTAGTTTAAGTTGGTATATTACTCCGGTGAAATTGAACATAATTCAGACTATTCTGTTGGAAATGTGATGAAGAAATTGGCATGTATTATCATATGTGGTGGGACTGTAAATTGATTCAGAAATTTAGAAATTGATTTTTAAGGAAATATGTGATATATTTGGAGAATAGATTGAATTTAACTCTAAAATTGCTTTGCTGTCCATTTTTTATAAGATAGAACTTGATTATTGCTTAAAATGAATTGATTTCTAATTTTATGACAAGTGCTAGAATATTAATAGCTAGATACTGGAAAGACAAACATGATATTAAATCAGAAGATAGGTATAACGAAGTATGAGACATTGCATTAAATGACAAATTGACTACTGAACTTAAGATGAAAAGAGGGGAAATAAGTTTAATATTTTTTTATGCTCTTTGGGGTAGTTTATTGAATTTGTATTAGTGAAAGGAAAAATTTTTATGCTATTTGGGGTAGTTTATTGAATTTGTATTCGTGAAAGGAAAATTTGGAAAAGAGGTTCGTAATAAAAGAATTTTTTGGAAAAGAGGTTCGTAGTACTGTAAAAGAATTGCTCCAAAGGATCCCATGGGTTTGGGGGTGCACTGTGTTTTAGATGGTTAGTATTTTGAATTGTTGCATTTGTTTTGGAAAAATAAAATATATTTGGGTGGGTGGGAAAGGAACCATAAGGTTTAATCTGCCTCCCTGGTTTTTGTGCCAACGGGGCACCAGCTCAGAAATTTTTCTGAGAATTTTATTTGTTTTATGCACAGTTTGGCATAGTTTAAAAGCTGGCTGGGTAGCTCAGTGAGTTAGATATCTGCCTGCAGAGCCAGAAATTGGGACTTCAATTCCCCACCGTGCCCTCCCATGTGAAGAGCCAGCCTGTGTAGTCATGGGCAAGGAGAATGGTCCTAGGGCCCTCCCAGAAGAAATGAATGGTAAACCACTTCTGTGTACTGTATCTTCTACCTAGAAAACCCTAGAGAGGGTTGCCGGAAGTCAAAATCAACTTGATGGCATGCAGTTATTATTATAGTCTAAAACTATTTCCCCCTGAATTTTGGAGAGAGAAAAAGAGAGAGAGATTAAGTCTTTCAACGGGCTTGACACTGATCTCTTAAGATTTCTTAACAACCCTGAGGAAAGTAAAACATGCAGGGTACAATTTAAAAGGAAAGACGATGTCTTGTGGGATTTTGCTACAAATAGTGCATCACCCAATTAAAACAATAATCTTCTTCAAAGATTTCCTACTTGAGACACTTTACAAACTCAGTTACTCCCCCACGGCTGTTTGGTAATCTGCACTTAGGGACAGCTTGCTGATGTTGGTTCCATTGATGAAGGTTCCCATCTCACTGGACTTCTACAGCTTTCTGTGACATTGATTCATGTAGACAATGAAGAAGAAGAATTCACTTCTCCCCTTTCTGGTGCTTAACCGGCTTTTCTAAAAGGAAGTGAAGTCTCAGTGTGCCAGACTGCTCATTTGAAAGCAGTTGCTCCTTTTATACATATTTTCCTCTGCATCAGTTCTTAAAGTTACAGAATTCATACAAGGCTCTGGAGCAGATGTTCTCTAGATGTTTGGGGTCATAACTTCCATCGGTTAGGAATTAAAATAGCATAGACTGAACACTCTGGAGGGCATCAGGTTGCCTAGCTCTGATAGCAATGTTTTAGTTCTAGAGTGATGCATAGATAAGTGTTTATGCCTACATCGATCTGTGATCTTCCACACAGGATATCTGGCTGTGTCCATCTATGAACCTCTTCCACCTGAACATTAACCAAATTAACCTCACTTCTTCTTTTGCAGATTCCAGTGATGGGAGGAGCCTTTATGGACTCGCCCAATGATGACTTTAGTACAGAATACTCTTTGTTTAATTCATCTGCCAACGTCCACGCTGCCACCTCTCTGCCAAACCAACCAGAAGAGACCTCTCGTTCCTCAAATGACGCCATTTTGTTATGGATTGCAATTATAGCCACCATTGGGAACATTGTAGTTGTTGGCGTTGTGTATGCCTTTACATTCTGAGAAGAAAGGAGGATGGCCTGAGGAGGTGGAAAATAACTTTGCTGTCCTTCATGGGTGCAAGTGTGTCTTTGTGTATGTAGACATGCAAACATATCTATAAAAATGTATATATTTATAAATATATGTAGGTAGATGCTGTTTGTTACTTTAAGACCAAGTTTAACGATGGTGAAAAAATCTTGAGAGACCTTTGTGAAAGTGGGGATGAAATGTCTAATTCAACCAAATGTAAATTCATTGTAACAAAGCCACTAGGAATGATCATTCACACAAAAATTAAGGCAGGTTTGTTCAGCAAGGGCACTGTTGTTTCCTGGGCTGATGCACCTGTTACTTACCTTTTGTTTCTATTTGAGAGAGGCTTTTGTATCTAATCTACTCCTGGCCTTGAATTCTGAACATGGGTTTGTATAGACATACAGTACACCTTCAGTTCTTTAGACAGTCTTGTTCTTTTGTTGTCCAGAGGTGCAGGGAAAGTAAGTGTTTAGACTTGCTCTGAAATTCAACGTTACAGCAATTTGGCACATGCAAAATAGAATTTCTGCTTGTTTGCTACAAAGCCCTGCAAAGTGAAATATACATTATTTGCCACAGTGTTCTGATGGGTTTTATCAAGAGCGATTGAGTTTTCCAGTGCTTGGTCTTTGGGTAATAGAAGATGGGTTCAGATTTCTGGAAAGCTGTCCCACAAAAATGTGTGACTTTGGAGACATACTGGTAATGGAAGCTTAACATGGTGGAAATACTGGTCATTATAACAAAGCAGAGGTTTTCAGTAATGTCTCTGAGAGAGCCTTGTGTTGATCTAGAGCAGTGGTTCCCTATCTTGGCTAACCCAAGTGTTCTTGGACTGCAGCCTTCACCACTGTGCTGGTCAGGGTTTCTCGAAATTGCAATCCAGGAACATCTGGGTTAGCTAAGGTTGGAAACCACTGATCTAAGGTGATGACTCCAATCTGAGGAGGCGTATACATACCCTGTTTCCCTTGAAAGTAAGCCCTAGCATGATTTTTCAAGATGCTCGTAATATAAGCCCTACCCCGAAAATAAGCCCCAGTTAAGTGAAACCCCACCCTCCACCCTTGTGCAGAAACCAGAAGAAGATGAAATGACTGTATTTGAATAAATGTAGATTGTTGTACATGAAAATAAAATAAAACATCCCCTGAAAATAAGCCGTAATGTATTTTCGGAGAAAACATTAATATAAGACCCTGTTTTATTTTCAGGGAAACACGGTATTTCTCATCCTCATTTTGTGTACCCAAGTTTCTGGCCATATGCACCAAAATGGACCTTCCTCCTGGGGAGGAGGGGACCTCAAGTTTAATCAGTTGCGTGGAGGTGATTGTATACATCTCATGTCAAAGGAAATGAAGTCTTTTCTTCTGTTATTCTTCTTAGCAAAGGATTTGCCCATGTGGAGGGCTCCTAGTGCTGCCGTACCACCTGGAACACACTGAACTTACCTGAATTTCATAAGTTAACCAGATTCTGGCCTGGCTAATAGTCAAGTGAAAGAACAGCGAGAAACACTAAGGATCTCCAGGTAGAGGAAGGCTAGGAAGATTCCTGCTGAAATGCAGGGTACTGCCAGTCAGTAGGCAGTACTGGGCTAAATGAACCTGCATTCTGACTCAGTATAAGACAGCTTCCTGTATCCCTTCCAGGCCAAAGGCACTGTATTCTTCTTCCATCTTCTCTTCTTTGCCAGCGAGAAACACCAAGAATCTCCAGGTAGAGGAAGGCTAGGAAAAGATTCCTGCTGAAATGCAGGGTACGGCCAGTCAGTAAGCAGTACTGGGCTAAATGAACCTGCATTCTGACTCAGTATAAGACAGCTTCCTGTATCCCTTCCAGGCCAAAGGCACTGTATTCTTCCATCTTCTCTTCTTTGGGGTATTTCTCTTTCCTGATGGGGAAGAAGACAGCATTGGTGGGAAACTGTAGGATTATTGAAGATGTGGACATCTGGACTCTTTGTAATATTCCAGGATGAACAGCATGAAAACCTCTCCTGGAAGCATCCAAATCGTTTCCAAGAGCAGCTGTCCTCATTTACAACATATAGGATTTTAGATGGAGAAGTGACAAAAATTTGATCCCCTTCCTTCGCTCCTTTCATGCTGTTCCATATTTCAGACCAGAGATCAGGATTGAACAAGACTTGGAAACATTATTGTGAGAAGCTATAGCTCCCAGAATCCTTTATCACACGTTGTCTGAAGGTTTCTGTATACAGTAACTGTGAAAACGCAACTTTTCCATTTCAGACCACATGTGGAATTACTCCTTAGAGGTTTATGGCCTAAACCTACCAGAGATCAGGATTGAACAAGGCTTGGAAACATTATTGTGAGAAGCTATAGCTCCCAGAATCCTTTATCACACGTTGTCTGAAAGATTCTGTATACAGTAACTGAGAAAACGCAACTTTTCCATTTCAGACCACATGTGGAATTACTCCTTAGAGGTTTATGGCCTAAACCTATTTGTGACTCCTGTCTAGAACTGACCCAGTGAATCAATGGGATTTACCTATCAGCTTACCATTAAGCAAATGTTTCAATAGCTTTATTCTAGTTGGGATACAAGTTGAATTTTGGTCTATGTATTTTCTGACCATTTCATTGCTTGTGGTGCATTTGTGTGCCTCTTGTTGACACCTCTTTGGACTAGTAACATGAGAATGATGGAGTTAGTCATCATATGCCACCTCTGGAAGAAATCTGTTGCTTCAGGATCCCTTCTATAAAGTTTTTTTTGAGTGATCTATAATGGCTTTATTCTAGTTGGGGTACAAGTTGAATTTTGGCCTATGTATTTTCTGACCAGTTCATTGCTTGTGGTGCATTTGAGTGCCTGTTGACACCTCTTTGCACTAGTAACATGAGAATGATGAAGTTAGTCATCATATGCCACCTCTGGAAGAAATCTGTTGCTTCAGGATCCCTTCTATAAAGTTTTTTTGAGTGATCTATGGAAAGTGCTCAAAAGACATTGCCCTCTTTTTGCAATGGACTCTCCAGTACAGTATATCTGAAAGAGGGCTTTGAAAACTCTGAAATTTCCCTTCTCCAGTATATCTGGAAGAGGGCTTTGAAAACTCTGAAATTTCCCATGCTGCAATATGAAATTGTTCATGTGGAGATCCAGCAGTAATTCCATGGTCTGATCCTGTAAATTACTCTGCAGTGGCTGATGGACAAGAGGAACTGGCGACTACAATCCTGTGTCCACCTCTCGGAATGAAAATCTTCACCTTTAAAATCTCTTCCAATATTGATTATAAAGAAATCTGTAAATAATAGTATTTTGAGAAGTTGATTGAAATGTGAATAACAAGAAATAGCCATGTTCAATAGCCAAGTGCCATAGGAACTGTCCCTCCCCAAAGAGAAAGAGTTGTAATTGCCTGCCATGCAGGTTTAAATGATAAGGAGTAGCTTTGGAAACAAATGGGGCAAATGTATTCAAGACTTACATAGTTGAATACACAGGCTTTTCATAACTATGCAGTCAAGATTCTGGGTGTGGATGATGGAATCTAACTTTCCTGCATTCACATTTCCAAAAATCTTAAACTTGTTCCATCCTGAATAGGAATAAATGTGCACATCTCTCTCTCTCTCTCTCTCTCTCTCTCTCCCTCACACACACACACACACAAATGAATTTCTTCCCCTTCCTTGATTTTTATCTTTATAAATCTGGTCTGCAGTGCTCCATGTGCTTTTTAAGTTCTATGGGGTGAGATACAGGCAGCACACTTTGCTTTCTGCTTTTAAACAGAACGTGCCTTCAGCAGGAGATTGCCCCCCCTGATCACCCTTCAAAGACAGCGGGGGGGGCAACATGCATCCCTCTAGATGTCGTTAAACTACAACTTCCATCAGCCAGTGTAACTTACGTGAGAGATCACTGGAATGATAGCCCAACAACATTTGCAGGACCACACATTGATTAGGGGATTCCCTACGGTAATGTGGAATCCAAAAACACCCACCTAGGTTTTGATACCTTCCTGATGTTTTCCAACAGTCCTGAGTGTCTGCACTTGAGCCTATTACACAGGCCTGATTCTGTCTCCTCATTTTAGAATACTAATGAAAAGTAAATGAGTTCAATTTCATGCATCTGAGTGTTTTTCAACAGTATCTGTGAGGTTCATAATTAGATCAATTAAGTGTTTGTAGGAGTTTCAGCAGCATCGACGAGAGCCTAGCCGCGTCACATCTTGCTGAGAAACTCTTCATGCATGGTCAACAATGGGGAATAAGGATCTGGTTTGTACTTATTTTTACCCAATTGGCTGCCGGTGCTGCTTGATGAGTGAGTCACTCCAATGCTTTGCTATAACTAATTTGTGTGTTTTAATCTAAGTGCAATTAGCAGTGTTTGTGTATCTGTGCCAGAAAATCGGATAAAAGTTTAAAAGAACATACTGCCTGGAAATAAGAGCATCTTTTCACTAACGGAGGGCAAAGTGGAGTGGGAATCAGAGAAATTTGTTAGAAGAGAAAGCAGAACTTGGAAGATTATTTATTGAAGTCATTATCATCTCCATTATCTTTTCACATTTCTAGCATATTATTTTAGTGACTTTTACAGTTTTTAAAAAATAGACTTTAAAAATTAAAAAATGGACGGTACGTTCATTCAGAGGAGTGAACATTGCTTGTTGCACTTCAGAAGTAACATTGCTGCCAGTTGCTAGGCTATGTTGCAAGAATTATGTGTTTATCTCCTCATTATCCCAAACTGTAACATGTAGTTAATTTGTTACTTGTAACAATATCTCTTCCAAACAGTGGGAGAAAGAAAAACAATCCTATAATTTTATATATTGGATGCACTGATTTTAGAAAACAAAGGGAAAACATATTTTTTCCTGATTGCCTTCTGATAAGTAGTTTCCTGCTGTGTCTGGTTATTATCAATAAAGAGGTAGGTTGTAATGGAGTTTCCCTGCCTATCCCTTTTCTCCCTATCAGACTTCAGAGCTCACCCACCCCATTGTTCCTCTTAGGTTTGGTGGAACCTTGGATAGCTCAGTGGTTTGCTATCTGGCTGTGGAACCAGAAGTTGGGAGTTTGATTCCCCAGGGTACCACCTGGGAGTAGAGGCAGCCTATGTGGCCTTGGGCCAGCTGTACAGTCCCAGAAGAAGGGAATGGTAAACCAATTCTGAATATTAGGAAAGCGATGAAACAGGAAACAAGAGGGAATGGTCTGGAGTGCTCTCCTTTAACCCATAGTAAGCGCACATGGTTTAATAATGGATAGGGGCTAAAGCTGCAGCTACATTTGGTGATTTATTACGTCTGATTCCCTTTGTTATGAAAGCTGCCTCTTCAATGTCCTGGAGAGATTCAAGGTCCTAATAATGACTCCACATTCTCCTGCAGGGAGTTGAGAGTTATTAATGTGTAATGCTGCTCACACCATGGCCCAGAAAATGTAATTTTGCCGGGTTCCCTGCAGCTAATCAGAGAAGCAGAGGGGCCTGCGAAAGGAATTAAGAAGGAAAATGTTTTGGTGTTGTTTTTTTTAAGTGGGAGTGTAAGTAGGGCAAAGTTGAAGCACAGAGACAAAACCCATTTTGCATTCAGAAGACTCTGTTTGAAATCACACCTTAACGCTTTCCTTGCTTAGTATTTCTGATAATATTATGTTGTGTTTTTAAATTTTATATAAAGCAAAGGAAAAAAATACAAAACTAAAGAAATACATTACATTCCAAATCAACCAACTGGGGAAAAAATAAGCAAAAATATTGTGGCATTTACTCATTTAGGAAGCCCCACTTCCCTTCCAAACTGCATTGAGTCTTGTGAAGGTACAGAACCCTTCCCTTTTATGATGGTTGTATGT